GGAAAATATTAATCTCGGTATTTTGGAGTTCTTCCGTCCTTTCGTTTTCTCTTCCCTCTGTGTGACCACGTGATGGTGACAAATATCGAGGAAATGTCACGGAGCTGAAAGGGCATGCGCCAAGCCAGCATCAATCTCACGCCGCAGTCAAGTGCATGCAAGTGGGGCAACGTGCCGTTAAGGGGGAAAAAAAATCACTCGTTGATTTTTAAATATATCTTTTTTGCATGACATTTTAATGCCAAATTATGTGTGTGTGTGTGGGGGGGGGGATCTACGGTTGAATTGTATTGTGTGTCTCGTATACGATCCTCAATGTGAAGAATGTAGGGTAATGACACTTTCTATTTTTTTACAATTAATGTTGGTATATATCAACATAAAGCTTAATCCGTTGTATAGAATTAAACATTGGCTGCTGGAGTTGATACTAATGTTTTCATTATGACTGATATTATTAATGAAAAACACAACAATCGCATTCGTGAAACAGTGGCACGACGATAAGGGCGGTGATGTGCACTGTTCAGTAGGATTGTTTTAATATTGCCCACGAGTTTGAAAAGCTTGGGCACTTCAACATGTTCAGAGACGTCTGGCCAGGGCTCAATATTCAGCCCAAAATATCCTCTGGAGGGGCTCTCTCGATCTCCCTCTGGTGCAGGCTCTTCCGTCAGCAGTGGATGGAGCAAGGAATTGCAGGCCTGCACCGCTGCTTTCTTTATTAACACGGTCGGCTGCCAGGATACGTTGCATACTTGTCAAATCCCAAAACTAAACAAGTCTTTTTTTTAGCGAGCGCCATTTCACAACACATATTCTGTGGCACAGTTGAGCTCTTGTTTGGATATTCTTGCAGGGTTTCCAGCCGTAACAATAAACAAATAAAACATGTACAATGCGCATATCCTGAATATAGAAAATAATAATACAGAGACGGATGCTGTTAAATTATTCATCGTTAGAATCCATATTATAGTTAACTTTCTTTAAACAGGTAGGAGCCCTTTTTCTGAAACAACTGTTCTACTTGTAAATAAAAATAATACAATTCCAGATTGTGACAGTTGCAATGGCTTGTGGGTGCCTTCAATCAGTTTGGGGAGGCATTCATCCAGCAGTTGATTGATCATGGCTAATGACGATAAGTAATACAATTATTCCTTTTGTTTTTGGCAATCTTTACCATTGCATCTTTACCATTGCATTTACATGGATACAGTTATGGTTATTAATTTCTCTGTATTATTATTACGTATTAAATCTACTACCCTTATATATATTTTATTAACAGGCTCTTGTCAGTCCACTGACGGATGAATGCCTCCCGATGCCACGCGAGTGATAGATTGGGGTTGTTAACCATATATCACCACAATAGTCAGTGCAAGTTGGTGAAGGCAGTGGGGTCCTAGACCGGTTCAGATATGTTTCGCCACTGATATTGGCCATGGCCAGGAATCATACTCTGATCAGGTGGTATTCGTAGCGGAGTGCGCTAATCACTGAGGCCACCGCCTTCCCCCACCTCTACAGCTCTTTACATCCTGATAAAATAAGCTAAATTTGGTGACGCTGTTGATTGTTTGCAATCGATTTTGCAGAGTGAGCACCGCATTATGAACCCCATGTCCTTGTAACAAAAAATATGCCATTGTAATCAGTCAGCGATTCAGTCCAACATTTGTGGAAATATGTTTTGTGCCTTTTCCCCACGCGAAGTCTGGTACCATTGGAATGTGTATAAGATTGTTTAAGCCAAGATAAAGTAGATTTGAAGATTGTATTGTAAAACACGCTCATCAGGCATGCTGCAGTTGTTGTTTTGAAAATGTAGACAATGATAATAGACAATCTAGAATATTCGAAGCTCTCATTGCCGATTTGGACATGGGGATGGAAAGGAGAATATTCAATAAAGGGATGGAATTGAGTTTTGTTTACAAGAGATGGATGCTATCCTTAGAACCGGGATATTGAAAACTAGAGGGCAATTTTTGAATCCATAAAAAAGCGTCCACCTATAAAAGCACAAGGTACTCAGATAAAATGTGTTTGACCCTGTCGAATACATTTTTTCCACCGTTACGTTACACGTTCATTTTGTGGGGTATCAAATTGCGTTGGAAGTGGTGCACAAGCACACTCTTGTCAATAGCACTGCCCTGAAGCGAATATATATGACTACTATGAATTTATATTCTTAGCTCTTTCGGTAAAGTCACGTTGAAGGGAAACAATAAAATAATAAAATATATATAAAACAATAAAAATTCTCACGACGTTTCGACCATAACACAAACGGTCATCATCAGATGTGAAAAACCAACGGCAAGAAACATTTTAAAGAAGTGTCGGTTCCCATTTATTTATTTATTTATTTTAAAAACGTTGTTTTTCACACCTGATGATGACCGTTTGTGTTATGGTCGAAACGTCGTGAGAATTTTTATTGTTATATATTTTATTATTTTATTGTTTCCCTTCAACGTGACTTTACCGAAAGAGCTAAGAATATGAATTACTGCAGTCACGAAAGCTTTAAATCAAAATTTACTATGAATTTGTATGAAATTTTTATACTAATTTTGGAGATTCTCTCTCTTATAAAATCATGTACACCAATATATGTATGTATATTTGGTTTTGATTTTAATAATTCATGCAGGAGAGGGTTGAACAAACACAACCTATTTTTATTTTCACAACTTGGGTTCGTTTTTAAGTTTGTACTTATTTAAGAAGCCTCACTTGGCAGTTGACGATGCATTAAATCAAAAGTTGATGCTGGTAAAGGGCGATATTTTTGTACATTGTGCAGTTTCAAGGTTAGAGAAATACTACGAGATACTTGTTCTGCTAAAGTTAAAGCAAATGTCAATTCACAGGCAGAAATTATAACATGTCATACAATTACAATCAATTAACCATTACTAGGCGCGTTCATACGATTAATTCGAATTGTACATGGAAACAGTTGAAAATGATTGCATGGAATTAATAACTAGAGCTAGGATATCTGATTGCAGTATTTAAGTAGTCGCTACTCTACCGATGATTTATCAGTTCTAATTACTCGACTCATCAGATAACACGAAAAAATAGTTTGGTGGAAATTACAGTGTCACCTCTATCCCCACGTGTACTGCTGGATGAGAGGTGATGAGCTTAGTGACGTCTTTAGGCATCATCAGCCACGACACGCTGCATGTGGCTTGTTGGGGGTTTACAGTCTTCGTGATGCAGGATATCAGGGGACTATGGATATATATTTATTTTAAAGAGGGCTAAATTAATCGACCATAACAACATTCGTTTATCCTAATTTATCGTCGATTAATTGACTACAATTCCGAGGCAGGATGGGGTTTGCCTGGCTTATGTATCCTGAGGACCGCCAAGGCCTGGGCTAATGCCTGCAAATGATCGATGTGCAGTATACTCATACATCATCAATTTACCGGCAAGGTTGATTGCTATGTTACAATAATTAATTTAACAAAAATGTGCCGCCCCTTTGTTAATCCACGTCTGGATGAAGGCCTCCCCATGCTGAATCAGTGTGGGGTGGTGAAATTGGGGTGGCATGGGAATCGTGGCTGGGACTCGGACTCAAGTTAAATTTTGTCTAAAAACTTTCGTGACTGCAGGAATTAATATTCTTTGGTTATTTCGGTAACGTCACGTAGATAGAAAAAAAAACCAAAGTGAATACAAAATCATTAAAATAAAATAAAAACAACCGCTTTTGTTGCGATCGAAACGTCGTGGTTTTTGTTTAAATTGTTGTTATTATTATTATATCTACCTGACTTTACCGAAATAACCAACGAATATCAAATTTCCAGATTCATGGCTAGTGAGCCTATCTCTGTGCCATAATTCCTGTGAAGACTAAGTATCGAGATTGTATAACGTTCGTTTTCCACGCATTAAGCTTAACGTGTTCAATTGTTTTATTTTGTTTATATGGACACACCATAGATATTACACTATAGATCATTTCCATTTGTATGCCGTATGGATATGCAATGAAATCCAATTTACCTACGAACGTCAGATTACTTTCATAGACACATTATTGAAGAGATTAGCATGGTTGGCCCCGTACGGTCCCGTAAGGCGTCCGACATACATGCACAAGGGTCGCAACGTGAATGAATACCGCGTATTATATCTGTGCAGAGGGGGTAGTGCAAAGCGGTGGTTACTGCACTCCGCTGTAGATTCAGTGACCCGAGATTGATTCTCGACAACAGCTGTAGCACCAGGGCCAAGTAATATCTAAAGCGTTCCTGCCCCCCGGCTCCATGCTTCATCAACCCGCAGTGACGGGCATGGTGAAATATGGTTAAGCAACCCCTTCGACCGACATATTGTGGGGAAACCTTCATTCAGCAGTTTGCCTTTAGAGGCTACCCCCTTTTTTTCCTGATGACGACCGCTTGTGTTGCGATCGAAACGTCGTGAAAGAAACAATAATAAGTCTACATTATAGACTGCCAGTACGCTCACTCAGTTTAATAACCATTGCTACAGTCTGCATTACAGACTGCCAATTTCAGTTTCAGTTTATATTTTGGTATAGCCCTGTGAGCCATTCGGCTCTTGAATCGGGTGCATCCACAACAAACAAAAACACAAAAACACGAACAAGAAAAACATCTTAAAGTGACTATGTGACTGTGCAAACAGAAAATCCATGAAAAAACAGCAAAATATTCCTGAAAAAAAGCACCGTACACCAAGGCTCTGTGCAAAAAATCCCAGTGGGATGCAAGTCAAACAACAACAACCACAATACGCTCACCAGCTTAAAAACCAGGCTACAGTCTAAATTATAGACTGCCAGTACACTCACCGAGGTTAAGAACCAGGCTAAAGTCTACATTATAGACTGCCAGTACACTCACCCAGCTTAATAACCATTGCTACAGTCTACATTATAGACTACCAGTACACTCACCAAACTTAATAACCAGGCTACAGTCTACATTATAGATTGCCAGTACACTCACTCCGATTAAGAACCAGGCTAAAGTCTACATTAGTGGTTTATCTTTTTTTATCTACTTGACTTACTGAACGAACCAAAGAATAATAATAATTCATTCAGCAGTTGGTTGACAAAGGGCTGTAAATTAGTTGTATATATACGTACTAGGTACTGGACGTGGCTAATCTGTACATATACTCGTGTAGTGACATTGAATGAGTCACTGTAGCGCGTGGCGCTGGGAGATTGGTAGACAATGGAATTAGGGGTAGCAGCCCGCTCTACCAGTTTGACCCGTGGGCCAAGCCCGGAGCCTTCTGGGGGATCCAAAAGGGGGCGTGGCCGAGGGCGGAGCCTGGCCACACTGGGGAGAATAAAAGGCGAGCTCCGACTCACAGTCGGGACTGCTGCCATTGGGAATGGAACTTGCCATCCTGCTGTCGTCGTGGTCTTCACCTCTTCAAGCTGTGGGTCTGGAAGCATGTTGGCTGTTCCTACCCGGTATGGAGTTCTCACCTATGGATGTGAGAGCCAGACTAAACAAGAGGGATAACGCCTTCTACTAGTGTCTCTGAATTAGTACAATACACTTATATATGGTTATTCAGAGCACTGCTCCTAGACTGCTTCAACCAAGTTCAATGAATGAAGTGTCACTTCGAAAGGCTGTTATGCATTACATGTGAACGAGATCGAAATTACAATATGAACATATATTTGCTCTGACAATTGGGATAATTCAGTTGATCAGCCATGACACTGCTCATCTATATTCTTGGTTCTTTCAGTAAAGTCGCGTATAAGGGAACAAATAAAATAAGAAAAATATGAAACAATAACATTTTAACGACATTTCGACTACAACACAAACAATCATCATCAGGTGTTAAAACCACAGAAAGAACATTTGAAAAAAGTGGCGGTTATTATTAACATTAGCACCACGGAGAGCGATTTGACAGTTTGTTCAGATGGACGAGTCCATCTATGTTCGGAAAAGAGGGAGGGGGGAGACGAAAATATTGGATGCGGTCTGAAAGCCGCCGTAAGCGTGAACAATCAATTAAGAACCAAAATGGTTTGTCAAATCCTTCCAATGATTGATAAGCCAGAATCCATCTTCTCGGTTGAAATTGTCTCTGTGTTTGTATATGTGGATAGCCTCATGAACGAATCTCTCATGGTAGCCAGATGGCTTTCAAAGAACCTCTGTCTTGGAGAAGTCAATGTCATGTGAGCCTACTGAATAAAAACAGTGATCTGCCACGGCCGAGGTGTTGGTCCTACCGTGTTGTAGGTCTGCTTTGTGTTCACGAATGCGGTCCGAGACATGTCGTTTGGTTTCTCCAATGTAACTACTACCACAGAGGCAACTTAGTTTGTACATGTATGTCCGGAATCACATCATTTACAGATGGAACCAGATCACGGATTTTATGTAATGTGTTAAATTGGACCAGGATCTTGTGTTTATTAAAGATTTTGGAGATCTTTTTTGTGATCCCCGCAATGTAGGGTAAAGTGATGGTTTTAAAAGGCTCCTCAAGAGGGTCCTTCTTCATGGTTGGAGTGATAGCTTTGCGGATTGTGTAGTCGGAGTAACCATTAGCCTTAAGAGCTTGGTGTACGTGCTTGAGTTCACTGGCTATGTGTTCCTGGTCGGATATGCATTGGGCTCTATGGTGCAGAGTCTTGATGAGGGAATTCTTCTGGGATGGATGGTGGTGGGAATCCGGTTTCAGGTAAGCATCCGTATGGGTAGTTTTCCTGTAGTAAGAGTGGCTCATTGAACCATCTGGTCTCTTTTTTATTAGGACATCCAAAAAAGGTAGCTTGCCATCTTTTTCGACTTCCATGGTAAATCTGATGGCTGGGTGTATAGAATTGATGTGGTCGAAGAATTGGTCTAGAGCAGGCCGGCCATGTGGCCAGATGACAAAAGTGTCATCCACGTACCTCTTCCATAAGGTTGGGCGTAGAGTGGCAGTCTGGATGGCGTCAGTCTCAAATTTCTCCATGAAAATGTTGACTACAACCGGAGATAGGGGGAGCCTATTGGGGTGCCCTCAGTTTGTTTGTAGAAAGTTCCATTCCAAGTGAAGTATGTATTGCTTAAGCAGTGTCTCACCAGGGGAGGTACCTCAGTGTTTAGTCCTTGATGAACCAAGTCTCAATGATTGCGATGGTGTCAGGTACAGGAACTTTGGTGAATAAGGAAACTACATCCAAACTGACCAAGCAGGTCGTCTGGGGACAGGGAAATACCCTTGATTGTCGATGCCAGGTGAGTAGAATTTTGTACCGCAGAGGTGGTTTTTCCAATGAAAGGCTGCAGGATTTCAGACAGAAAACGAGCCAGTTTATAGGTGGGGGAGTTGATTGTAAAGACGATGGGACGAAGGGGTGTGGCAGCAGAAGGTTTCAACGAAAACTGTTTGGTTTGATCAATTAAGGAGGTTGAATCAGAAATTATTGTTGGTTTGTATGACGAGGCTGTTCGTGGGATCTCTTTTTATTTTTGTATAGCTGCCATCGTTGAGTAATTCTTGACTTTTGTTATATTCTATTTTATCCATGACGACATTGGCATTGCCCTTGTTGTATGAGAGGATGACAATGTCTTCCCTTTTTTTAAATTTATATAATTCAAAACGCTCATCTTTGCTGAGGTGCTAGCTGGCATCTTAGCGTTTTTGAGGGTTGCAGCGATTTCAGATCTTGCTACCTTTTTTGGATGTCCTAATACAAAAAGAGACCTGATGGTTCAATGAGCCACTCTGTCTACAAGAAAGCTACCCATACGGATGCTTACCTGAAACCGGATTCCCACCACCATCCATCCCAGAAGAATTCCCTCATCAAGACTCTGCACCATAGAGCCCAATGCATATCCGACCAGGAACACATAGCCAGTGAACTCAAGCACGTACACCAAGCTCTTAAGGCTAATGGTTACTCCGACTACACAATCTGCAAAGCTATCACTCCAACCATGAAGAAGGACCCTCTTGAGGAGCCTTTCAAAACCATCACTTTACCCTACATTGCGGGGATCACAAAAAAAGATCTCCAAAATTTTTAATAAACACAAGATCCAGGTCCGATTCAACACATTACATATAATCCGTGATCTGGTTCAGTCTGTAAAAGATGTGATTCCGGACATATAGTACCCTGGCGTCTTCAAACTAAGTTGCCTCTGTGGTAGTAGTTACATTGGAGAAACCAAACGACATGTCTCGGACCGCATTCGTGAACACAAAGCAAACCTAAAACACGGTAGGACCAACACCTCGGCCGTGGCAGATCACTGTTATAATTCAGTAGGCTCACATGACATTGACTTTTCCAAGACAGAGGTTCTTTGTAAGCCATCTGGCTACCATGAAAGATTTGTTCATGAGGCTATCCACATATACAAACAGAGACAATTTCAACCGAGAAGATGGATTCTGGCTTATCAATCATTGGAAGGATTTGATAAACCATTTCGGGTCTTCATTGATTGATCACGCTTAAGGTGACTTTCAGACCGCATCCCTTATTTTCGTCTCCCCCCTCCTCTTTTCCGAACATAGATGGACTCCTTCATCTGAACAAACTGTCAAATCGCTCTCCGTGGTGCTAGCGTTAAAAATATCCGTCGCTTTTTTCAAAATTTCTTGCTGTGGTTTTCACACCTGATGATGACTGCTTGTGTTGCAGTCGAAACGTCGTGATAATTTTATTGTTTTATATTTTTATTATTTTATTGTTTCCCTTATACGTGGTGACTTTACCGAAAGAACCAAGAATATGAATCCCTGCAGTCACGAAAGCTTTAAATCAAAACTGCTCATCTACTCTACCAATTAAAAGAGCCTGGCGCGCTCTGCGAGTTCCATTTCAAAACCATACAATGGATACCCATTTATAGGCATGCGACCTACTTTAAACATTATCACACTAAATAGTGTGTGCTTGTGTTGATTCTATTGTTCTGTTTTTATTATTATTATGAGCACTGTAAATATTAGTCAATCGACTAACGATCAACTAGTAATATAGTGGCAGCCCCGGACACTTAACAGGCCACACGCAACAGCGCGTCATGGCCGATGGTGCCTCTGGTGTCACCAAACGGGGGCCCCTCACCTCCCGTCCAGTGGCACATGTAGAAACAGAGGTCAAAACTTACCCCCCCCCCCAACTATATTTTCGTGTTATCCAATTGGTCACGTAATTCAATAGGATAATTGGTAGAGTAATTGATGACTTAAAGACGGCAATCATAATTCGAAAAAAAACTCGTTATTAATTTTCATTCAAAAGTAATTGGTGTTTTGTGGTACTATCGTGCTCGTGCTCAAATTAGCTAAATGTGATTTAATTGAATCGCCGAGAGGGTGAATAAACTCCTTGGAAGTCATTTATTAGTTGCATCTCAAGGAGCACTCCACTTGTTTATTCATATTTACGTTGTTCACCGTTTCTCAGTCCGCTCGTCCTGGTAAGGGTCTCGGCGGCAGCATGTTGAGTATGGCGGTCCAGACCTCCCTTTCCCTGACGACAGACTCCAGCACTACTACACTATACACTATTACACTATATACTACTTTACACTACTACACGATACACTATTATACACTACTACACTATACAGTACGCTACTATACACTACATTACTACACTATTCACTACACTACTATACACTACACTACGACACTGCACTACAATACACTATACTATATACTCCTATACACAGACTCTAGCTCTTCTTGGGGAATTCCCAGGCGTTCCCAGGCCAGCCGATCAACATAGTCCCACCGCCAGCATTTTGTCGGGGGCCGGCTTCGGGGTGTTTGCCCATATTTTATTTTACTTGAACATTGGATTCCCACAGCACCCGCAACCATGCAGCTCTTCGCAGTGGCTGTCTGTTATTATTTTACAGTGCAAATGGTGTGCATGAGGCACAAATTGTGACCAACAACAACAACCGCCATTCGCCACTAAGTGGTGGTGATGTCACAACGACGACGCTTGTGCCAGGCCATGTGTACCTTGAGGCCACGTGAAGTGTCGAATGCCCGCTGGCAGGAGGTCACGGGGCAGACCCAAGTGCCACGGGTCGACTGACTGAGATGACTGAGCTGACTGGCTGATGCACCACCTGTGCCCCCTACTGTGCCAACCTGCTGTGCTTTAGCCACCCGGCGCTCCGCTCGTTGTTGTGAGCGTCGCTCCTCTGCCCTCTGTTGTTCTTGGAGGGCGACTGCCTCCAACTGCCCAATAGCGTCCTTCACGAGCCTCCTCCACAGAGGCCGATCTTGACACGGCTGGTACCAGTCATCGGCAAGTCCACTCAGCTCCACGTCCTCCTTTACCACTTCACTCCATCTCTTCTCTAGCCCGTGCCGCGCCCGTTTAGCCCCCTCGATCCGGCCGAACAAAAACTGTTTCGGCATGCGGTGGCTGGGCATGCGGGCTACATGACCCAGCCAACGCAGCCTTGCCTCCCGGAGGAGCTCACCGATGGGACCTTGCCCAGATCTTTCAAGGATTTGTGAGCTGCTCACACAATCCAGCCTGGTTAAACCCAGGATGGATCGTAGGCAGGCCAGCCTAAATGTTTCCAACTGGCGAAGATGCTCCATTAAGGGGGTCCACGTTTCGCAAGCGTAGAGAAGGGAGGGAATGACCGTGGCCAAGAAGACCTGAAGCTTAGTGCGGAGCGACAGACCAGGTAGCTTCCACACAGCGTTACGCAACCAATGAAAAGATATTGCCGCTCGACTGATTTGGAGTGAGACCTCTGCTGTTAAACTGGAGCTGGTCATAAGCACACTGCCCAGGTATGGGAAACTCTCCACTCTCTCCAACTACCCCATCACCGATTGGGAGTTGTGGGGGTGGAGTGTCCGATGGTACAAAACACCCAGGCAGGTGCTTAGTTTTGGTGGGTAAGGCCCCATCTCTTAGTGGCATGCTCCAGTCTCAGCAGCAGCGTCTCCAACTCCTCCTCTGAATGAGCAGCTATTACCAAATCATCGGCATACATAACGTGGTTGAGCAATGGGGAGCCATCCCTTGACCGCACCCGGGCATCGATCAGCCTCCCATTATATCTGTACCAAATGGAGATTCCCCCCTACAGCTATTGAAGGCTTCACGAACTACGTGGTCAAAATAGATGTTAAATAATGTGGGAGCCAGATGACATCCCTGTCGCACCCCAAGGTGTACAGGGAATGGCTCTGACTCCCGGCCACGTAGTTTTACCTGGGCCCGCTCACCATCATGAAGGTCCTTAATGATCGTGAGCAAAGGGTCAGGGACTCCAAAAGCACGAAGAACAACCCAGAGCCCAGGCCTACTGATGGTATCATAGGCCTTGACCAGATCAATAAAGCAGAGATGTAGATCTTGTTGGAATTCCCTACACCTCTGCTGTAGCAGATGGACAGAAAATATGGCATCTGTGCAGGACCACCCTTTCCTGAAACCGCATTGGGGCTCGGCAAGCCTCTCCTCAGCGTGCCTGGCAAGGCGATGTTGAATAATCCTTGCCAGGACCTTTCCCGGCACACTGAGGAGTGGGATGCCCCTGTAGTTGTTAGTCTGTGCGGTCCCTCTTCTTAAGGAGGGGGACCGCCAGGGCATCCTTCCAATCCCGCGGAACCCGTCCAGTGGTCCAGATTATTGTTATGATGTCATATAGGGCAGTCTGTGCACAAACGCCACCCTCCGAGTGTACTCACACACACACACTGGCGTTACCCAAATTCGCCCCAAAAAAAAGTTACCGCTGCAGCCGTTGTTGATTGAAAAAAAGGTGGTTAGGGCGCAGCCCTGCATTTTCTTGTTCACACCCTTGCTGGAATATGAGCCTGCGAGGATCGGCAAACAAAACAACAAGAAGAGCCATTGTTTTCGAATTCGTTAATCAATAAATAAAAACTCCGTCATATTTCAATAGCTGCAGTGCATGTTAATGTGAATACAAAGCGACGCTTATTAAGTAACAGTCACGAAGCAAGTCCTTAAAGAGCCAACGGCATGCGGTTCTGGAGCCGCCGGTTGCCGACCCCTGCCCATGGTAAAAAAACTGGACTCCCATGGTAAACTGGACTCCCATGGTAAACTGGACTCCCATGGTAAACTGGACTCCCATGTTAAACTGGACTCCCATGGTAAACTGGACTCCCATGGTAAACTGGACTATTCCACACTAATCAGACGTCTTGGAAGAAGTAGGAGTAATTTACCACACTTTATCCCACCGCACACGAGCTGCCAGTAGATTAATTGTGGTCTACCTATTATTTTACTCCTGTGGGGGAAGGGGCTTTAAGAAACGTCCCCATCGCTCAACTGCCGAACCAAGAGATCGAATCGAAACGGCGACTTCTGGAAGTCCGCTGTGCTAAACATTGCACCGCGGCTTCCTCCCCACTGCGAAGGCATTCAACATTTAAAGGGTTGCATAAGACCGCATGTAAACAATCTGCACGTAGCGCAGTGGGGGTAACACGTAAAAAATGCACTCAATAAAACAAACAGGACCTTGCTTGCAAACAAGCTGCATGTGGCTTAATGCAGCTAACCTCTTTAGCGCAGTTCAATGGGATCGAATGATATACAGTATGTAAACAATGGAAGTAGGAGACCGGCCTTGGAATCCTGAACCCCAATCACTATGATTCTTGTGAATTGCATTACGAGCGCAGACCCTTGCAATTGGGTTCCCATGAGCCTAGGGCATGCATGGCCTTAACTTGGCGGAGGAAAAGGATAAGGATGGTAGGAGGTTCTATTATTATTCACAACTTATACATGCAGGAGTGGTCGCAGCCATCAGCAAAACCTGCAGCTGAAGAGGGCGTCCAAACGATGCCCTGGCGTGCATTACCACTGCAAAAAGGTGACCTGGGGGGTCCTCATCCGTAATTCCAACATGGAGCAACCGAGCCAACCACTCCTGCATACATATCACTGCTGCTATGATTAAAGCCCTGTAAAACAAACATTAGCAATTCTTGAAACTACATTTTAAAAAACTGCTTTCCGCTGAAATGTAATCTCGTCACGGGCAATGTCATCACGGACTTGTTATATGCACACCTGGAGAGTTTCATTAAGTCCTAATTAATGTTTTGACTTTAATTTCACCAACAAATGACACACACAAGACCAAATGCAAACACAAACGACAACAGGGTTAATGCAACTGCATAGCTGTTCACGGTTGTAACTGTAGGACTCTCCTGATTGTGTTTCTGCGGGTTGTACCGATCAGTGTGATGTCCGACGTTTCGCTCCGTGTGCTGGGAGCCTCTTCAGGAACTTGAGAAAATCCCAGCACGACGCAGATGTTTGGAACATCGTGTCGAAGAATACTTTTTTTTCAACCATAAAAAACATCCGAGACCTGCACCATACCAATAAGTTTGATTGTCTTCAATTCAGCCATATGAGCCGGAATTATAAAACGTTATTGTTTACGCAAGTGTAGTGAGCGACTTCTGAGACACATCGTGTAGAAGGCTTCTTATTTATTCTCACACTTTAAGCACAACACTGGGCGATACATCTATGCAACGTTCTACGTAGCTACACATAGCCGACCCTTCTCCAAAACCCCATCGTCGGCGTCCAACTACACAACTGTCTGACTAGCGCAGCGATGATGAGAGCCTTGCAGAAGATCGGCCACGTGGCCGGACGACGAAGAGAGATGATAGCGAGCAGCGACGCAGCCAGGACCCACAACAGCACCGAACCTCTGGTTCGGTCCTCCTTATATATATCCTGGCGAGGCCAAGCCCCGCCTCCGGCCACGCCCCCTTCCAGAACCTTCGAGCAGGTTCCGGGAGCTTCCCGACTGACTCTACCTTTCATCTTCACTCCAGACACGCCCCCCTCATAATTAGACATTACGTAACATGCCCATAACCGCGATTACCCCTTCAGGCAGACAGGTGGCACCCTGTCATTACACAAGGAAGATAAGGTGATATTACTGGCTACATGTGGCAAGCACAAGTTGCTTGATAACAACATTCACGCTAAAGAAGCGAGGGTTGGTGATGAGGCTACAGGAAGTGTTTTTTTTATATAAAGGAAAAGATTACATCAGTGCAAATGCTACCGTTTTAATACACGTTAAATGCTTTCTGTAGAGGAATATGTATATGTATATCCCGATGTGAAAATGGCATGTAACAATCAGAAACAGATTTAAAAACAGACCAATTTCTGTATATACATTCCCACTAGATTATCAACACAATTAAACTGCTTCTTAAAGAGTCTTATTTATATTTGAATAGCAAATGCATTTAAATTGCATTTCTATGTGTACATTTAAAAAAAGCCCGCTCCTCAATTCCACAACTCTCCGTATTTGCACATAAATCTGCTTTAATGCAACATGTTTGTCGTGTAGCATAAATCATTTACAGTGGAATAAACAGCCTTGGCGAAAGAAAAAACAAAATCATGACTCTTTGCCGACATTCAGATGATGCACTTCAGCAAAAAGCTGTGGGTCAGCGAGGGCTAAAGCATTTTGTGTTTGCTCGGAGTGTAATTTCCACGCATTGTTCGAACCTACGCAGACTTTCACTGCCCAAATTACTACCACTGCAGGCGCACGATGCCGAAGTGGCATCTGGCCTGAGATAATCCCCGCAAGACTTTTTCGTCCGGGAGGCTATTTAAGGCACGAGTCGCTTGTCCCTCTGCAGAGCTCGAGAGGAGTCAACATGTCGATGCGGGTCCCGCTGGGGACCACAGAATCTGGTAGAACGTGCAGCTGGGGAGCGGCAGGTGGCTCTCATCTAATGAGGTATGCGTGACTCTGGGTAGAATAACCCCCCGTTGCATATTATTGATTTAAAGTGCAAAACAATTGGCGTGCACGTGATGACCACGTTATAGGCGCACCTGAATGAGGAACGGATACGCAGGTTGCTGCAATGCTGGGGAGATTTGGGTTTTGTTGTTTTTGCTGTTCACTCCGGATTTTTGAGATGTGTCGGAGTGCCACATACACAATGGTGTCGGTGATGAGGAAAATGAAATCAGAACGAGCCAAGATACATATTGTTTTATTCAATGGGATTTGCTGCAGATTTTTGTGGTAAACCAGGGATCACGCATTGAGCCAGATGACAAATGCTTAGCCCCTTAATGCATGCATCCTCTCTTAACCCTACCCCGCATTCTCTCACTGCACAATATCTTTAAGAATTTGTTACTTGTACAGTGTTCATTCATTCGGTGGTACAATTCGGATTGCAATTTTTTTTCTTCTTTTGCTGGTGAAGCGTCGGCTTATTTCATTACAAAAAAATAAACGAGCACCTAGGGGCTGACGACTGATGATCCTTGCAAAATTGTGTCATCATGGTCAATGGTTTACATAAATCAAAAACAATTGCATCGAGCGCGCAACGTGTCCCGCTTTACACTCTTTCCTTTAACATCGCTTCTTGGAACACTTTAAATGGTCACAGCACACTGCTTGGGAGTTGCTGCTGCTGCTGGCAAATGTTGTTTTGTTGATTTGATGCAGAGACACAGTCCCCAGGAGCTCCTCGGCTTGCGATCCCTGGCCCTGCATTCCCAGCGCTGCATTTGTCAAGTCACTTAATGTGAGGAGCGGGTGCATGGAGCATTATCCAGGGCTCGCCTTTGCATTTATATGGAGTTAATGTTGTCGGTAGCTCCGTTCTGAATTATTTATTGAATGGGTTTCACAAAGCCGGAGACCACTCCCACCCACCGCCCACCTCCCATCTTTTCCAACACTCACATTTTAAATTCCACTCGGTTACCACTGGCTTCTGCGCAGCCTGCTGCGCATTTATTTATTTATTCCCGCACAAAATGTATCCTTTAATTGTATCTGCCTCATAATGAGTAATAGTACCGTTATTGCGATCGCTGGAGTGCTTTCGACAACATCGCTAATTGAATTATGGGCGCGCACAGACAACTGTATGTAACCCCGACCTTGATGGAGAATGCAAAAATCTCGCACGTTCCTCGTGTGAGATTTTTATAGGAGGTTTCAAACAGGACACACGCGCGTGTTAATAGCACACAGCCTTTGTCATTTGCATAAACCATTAGCGTTTACTGAAGCAGTGCATTGTGGGTCCTCTTGTGTTAGATTACCATCAAAATAACATTCGAGCAAATGTGACCAAGTGATAGCAGCAGTGATGCAGTTATAATTAACTGTGGACCGGCTTCAATATATGTAGGGTGCGTCAGCACAGTATAGTCAACCAATGTTCACTGCTGGAAAGCCTGTGGAGTACCTACATCCAAACTATGGGGCCTTTTAGCTTGCTTGGCTAATGCCAGAAAAAGTCACATATGTAAATGCGGGAAAGCTCATCAAAAATAATGTTTCAAACTCATTGCTTTTCAGCCTGCGGTATTATTCTATGATATTTTATTTAAATCTTTATTTGCAGATTTGACAGTTGTGGGCGGTGATCTACGAGAGGTAAAATTGCGCCTCTGAAGCTTATTGCGCTATCCACTGCTGGTGCAAGGGCCTCCCACTAGAGGGAGATCTAGAGAGCCCCCCCTCTAGAGGGTATTTGACCTCGCCTTCGACTCGAGCCAAATAGTCATCACACTATACCCCCATTCATACCGCTCGTGGGGTGAGGGGGGGGTGGCGAATATTTAAGAACGTTGAACCATCGTTTCTCAGCCGCCAAGAGACGGAATGTAACCGACAACCTCTGGATCGCGAGTCCACTTGCGCGAAACCATCGACACCCACGGCATCAGCCGTTGCGTAAATGAGCAGGGCCGAAATATTTTTAAAAAAATTCCAGACAACGCAAAGTTGAGGGCGCACGCCGATTCAAAAACAAACACACACAAAATAACACACTGGCCGGTGATGGACGCTCCATTGGCCCTGGTGCGCGGATGAATGGTCGGCTACAAAGCGGGGACGGCACGTGGTGGTGGTGGCGGCGACGGCGGCAGAACCACGCCGTTGGTCGCAGTGCGCTCAATGTCTGTGCCCGCAGGGGTTCTTGATCCGTCGGTCGATGCGGCCGATGACCGATAGCGCGATGGATAGGAGCGTGAGTAATGGACCCATCTTCGGGCGGGCCCGTTCGATGGCAGGAAATCCTTGGATGGGCAATGCGATGTGGCGGTCGTGGAGCACGTTCCTCTACGGCAGGGTCGGCGTGGTTCAGTCGATCAGCACTCGGCTGATGGGACCACTGATAAATGAATCAGTGCTTCCAACCACCCCCCCCCCCCCCCCCGTCGACTGCACCTTCTGCCCTCCTAATAACAAGAAAGTCGGCGCCGAAGTTGGGGCATTATAGATATTATCTGTGGGGTTATCATCAGGCTAACTGCTTTTATGCGCTACGTAAGTTATCGATTGAGGAGCACGACAGAAAGATGTTGATAAACTTATCTTGGCACGCGGCAGCTTTTTTAGATGGAAAAATATGCACTTTGACTTAAAACGTTGTGACTTTACCGAAAGAGCCAAAGAATATTATATGCACTTTATCTGATGCTAATTGGATAGCATTACTGTATATTGAATATGATTCGTTGATGCACATTGCTTTCGAGCCATGCACCTTCCATGTATGTTTTTTAATATTTAATGTTGTGATCTAGCATGATATAATGTTTGTCAACGTGTTTGTCAGTTACATAAGAAGCATATAATGATATTACAATATTATTTTCCAATACAGTTTTTGTTGGTTTATATAAGAGCATTATATAATGATTTTGCATCTAAATATATAATGCTATCATGCATGACGCGTTTGTTACCAGAATGCTTCGTGAGATATGGCAAAAATGGCAAACAGTGAAAGGAATGGAACACAGAATGGTAAGGTGTGACCTGAAGTGCTTGCCTCTTGCTTAATCCATGGCCCCTGTGGGAACAGCATTGTGTTTGCATTGGCTCCTTTCAATCATTTAGTGGTTTGGTGCACATGGGTCCACGCAAGCAAATATCCATTCGCCATCTTTAATTAGCCCTACTTGCTGCTTGTTTACATTTTGCAGCGGCAACCACAAACGTCTACCTAATTAGCCATCAAACATGAGCTGCCTGCTAAGACGAGCTATTCCTTTCGGTTGCATTCTGCCAAATGCAAATCGTTTATCATTTCAGCTAAATGCTAGGGGTAGGTCTGCGCATATTTTTGAGCGGAGGGAGTGAGGAAAGCAAAACACGGTTTCTTTTTGTGTGTAAACAATTGTTGAAAAATCCCAAACGGGAATGTGCTGGACAAAGAAAATACCATTCAAAATCAACGACGCTATTGTGTGTTCATAATTAACAACGATAAAAGTAATAGCAACAAAAGTCCATATCTCAAAATAAAAGCTCATTTTCACCTGTTTCTGATTATCTCGAATTATAAAGTTTTTTTTTCAAGTAACAAATACGTCTGCTTGTGCAAATGAAAACGTGCTACATTTGCGGGATATGTATGCATAAAGAAAGAGAAAATGAATGTCACGGTCTCCAGTCACATTTTCTACTGAACAATTCGTTTTCTGATAACGAGGGGGTCAGCAGGTAGCATCCTCTTAATGGCTTTGTGTGTGTGTGTGTTTCATTCAGGAGTGTTGAATGACAGGCGCCCGTGCAACACGCGAAGCTGGACAGTGTACGCGTGTTATTGGCGTGCGCACGCGTTCACATTGCCCTGTGCTTGTGAGATGTATTGCCATGACAACAGATGTATTTAGCCTTAATAAAAAAAAAAACTAATTTAATTTTGTGAGAATATTTATGTTGAACAAAACACATTGGAATGATAAGTGTTTATTTTATTTATATTTGTACGCAGTTATTGCTGAATATAAGACAAACACTAATCGGCATTATTTATCACGTTGTTTAAATAAATATGAATATGAATAGTTTTAAATACAAATTAGATCTCTATTCACTAACGCTTAACTCAAAGAGGTGAAGTGCCAAAAAACCCTAAATTGTATTATTATGAACTTTGGTTTCATATATTATTTATGCATTTGGGTATTTAGTAAGCCTGTTGTAAGTACAAGTAAGTGAAGCATAACTCATTACTTTATAATTTTTCTCACGTCTCAGAGGGTTGTAGTGAAACTCTGTTATCATGAGTTTAGAAGCTGCATATTACAATTTCATACAACGCTGTGGTTTAATGCTTGCGACCTGCAAAAATACATTTACGGAGTAAGTGAACTTGAAAAAAAGAATGATTAAATGCATCGTCCAGCGTTTATTTTTTTAAACTCAACTGTGACCAGGAAATTTAAACCACCGTGTGTCTTGCTTTACATTTTGTTCGTCCTGTGGAAAAGTCACAACAAATCAAATGAAAGCGATTCAGAAAACAATAAAAGGTTTCACGCCAGATGAGATTTTTGTTTCCTGACCGCGGAATACGTAAAAGCTGTATCAAAATGTTCGGGAACAAGCTCCGAGTGAAATATGATCAATCAACAGCCTGGGTTTGCTGTGTTGTGGCCACCACCACTGACTGGCCATATAAAACCCCAATGCATAAGACGGCGTGCCCTCCAACTGACTTGCACTTAGTGTAAGGCGCACGCTCGGATACGCCAAAACTGCTCCATGCGTCCGCTTCAAGTTAAGCCGGTGACCATCCGTGCCGTGGCCAAGGTGCTGTGATTCAATAATTGTGGCCGTGGGCAGCGTGTGCCGGCAGCAACGTGAGCAAGGACGCGAACAAGGTGGAGGAGAAAGTGGAGTAGAATATATGGAGTCGAACAATCGCAGTGTCCCTTCGACGCCCGGCGGACTGGTATTTTTCTTCGTATTGTGTTCATCACTCGCTACATTTAGACGCTTTCACTGTTGGCCTGCCCGTGTACGTATGTGCGCAGGTGTCTATAAGGTACTGTCATATATTTTACGCGTAGAAATTGTTTCAAAGACTAATCACTCACCCCTTTGACGATAATTATATTTCATGGGATCTCCTTTGCCACTACCAAAATATGATGATGATGATGATAATAAAAGGGGAAAAACCTATTATGAGAATGATATTGTCTTGCATTTCATGATCATGAGATATATATGGAATAATGGGACATTGTCAATATATATTAACAATTAAAGCCTGGAAACCATTGAATATGATGCATGAAATGCTAACAACGTTATATATTAAAATATTCAGGCTGTTTAAAAAAATGGATCCAATTTCAAAGCAGTATATTTCACGATGGCAACATGTTACAATTACACAAAAAGTTACAAACGGTTCAATGAGTTATCCAGTTTTACTAACTATTTTATAAATGCTCTGTGCCCTCCACCTGCTGTACGGACAACATCGACACGATTGTTTAATTCGTTCCAAACGCCTCTCTTCTCACGTTTTCCTCTTGAGGTGCGTGGTCGCCCTGTGCTCTTCCCCTTACATAAACAGCAGCTCGTTTCCTCCAATTGTCGGTACCAACGACGAATGCTCTTTGACATTGGCGGATCAATGCCAAAACGTCGTTGAAACGCACGCTGCAACGCAATTACGGATTCAGTCTTGCTGAACTGCAGAACGCAAAACGCCCCTTGTGTTTCGGCGTGACCATCTTGCGAATAACTGAGACTAGGGGCTGTTTGTGCGCTGGGAGAGGCATCTAGCGGTAATCATTTAAAACTCTATGCCCCGCCCTTTCAAGTGGTAACAGTTTGAGTTTCATTCATGGCCGGTTCGTGGTTGCAGAGATACAGTATATCGATTGCATATCGGGTCCATAATTTTTAAACACCCTGTATAATGATTATGGGGAAGTAGCGGTGCAGTAGCGAGGGATAACCTGGACCAGTCTTGCCCCCATCCCCCTCCTGCCCCGCCCCCCACTTCACCAACCTGCACTGGCCAGAAGTGGTGAAGTATGATAAAACAATCCTTATGACCCACAGCATCGCGCGCTTTCAGATGCGCTTCTACGGCCGTCTGGAACGTTCTTCCTTTCGATATTGGGAAACCACTGGAGCTGTGCACTTTTAAATCATCTCGATTGAAAGCTATTTTTTTTTAGAAGTGCATTTTGTATTTAGTTTGCTGTTCTTTCACCGCACTCACAATTCGCACGTTTGGCTACATTCGATGTGAAAGGAGCATGGGGGAGTATTTCATCTGACAGTGGATTGACAGTGCGCTGAAAATGATTGTTATTATTATCCATACTTATATATATAAATGTTACAGCTAGTATATATTCTCTATATATAGTATGGCATAGAAAAGCTATATGTAGGAAAAAGTGACTATAGCAGTAACTTAAAGGCATGCTTTACCGTGCTATATATGTAATGAATTTCTATTTTATCTCAGTAAACGGCTCTTGCAATATAGGCAAAGGCTGTAGGTGTTATACAAAGCGGTGGTTTGCACATTATTGCACATTATCCGCTATACTACCATCTGCTCTCGCCAAACACTCAATTACTTTTGGCTTAAGCGGCCAGTTGCTGTCTGGCATAGGATATTGACGCTAGGGGTTAAGGCACTCGCAGCAATGTGAAGAAAAAAACATCAGCTCACCAGATTAGCGGGTTTATTAGGCAATGTGATTGATGGACCAGCCGGTAAAGCCACACAAAACCCCGGTAAACTAAAATAATAACAATAGTATATTAAACAAAAAGAAACCTGCGGAATTACTTTAAAAATAAGAACCAATAATGCAAATTCTCTCGACCACCGCAGAGGCAGTGTTTTCAAGAATAAATAAATAACCCCACGAGAATAATAGCGCAAAACAAAAAAAAATGTGTGTTGTGCTAAAAAAAGGAAAAAGAGAAGAACAAGAAAGCATTCCGTAGGGAAAATACGCAGCCCTTGTGTGTCTGCAATGCAAGGTCACCAGAGCCATCTATTACCCCTCATTATGAATGCCGGATACATCTGCCACCATTTCAACACCATATGCACGGGTCACCCATGATTGGGTGGTGCAGAGCAGAAATCTTTCACGGGTTTTTTTTTGTGTATGTGCGTTATCGCGTAACTGTATTACCGAATCTATAATAAAATGGGGCGCTGCATAGTGATGAGCCGTTCCTGTGAGGGGGGGGGGCTTTTGTTTTGCCGTGTTGTGTCGCTCATATACGTTTTGGTTACTGCAAGAGCCCCGTTCTTTTGCCGCACGTGCGAATTAACACGGCGCTTGACTGCAGCATGGCTAAGAACTACAGTGAAGATTACGGTCATGAGGATCATTCAATATGCAGTCTACGTTTCACCTAATGTTGTAAAACATTCACCTCCCATTACGTGTATCTGTTTTTAGAACCCTATATGTCTATCAATGTATTTAGAATCCATTCGATATTGATAGGCTCTCATTTAAGACACCTCCGATAAGCACGGTTGGCTACGTACGGTGCACAAGAAGTTCACTGTACGCACAGAATTGTATTATTATGAACACAACGCAATTTTGTTTTGTACTGCATATATCTGTAAAACAATATTGGACAGCTCTCCTTGAAAATATAAAAAAGCAACTCCATACCATTCAATGGATTGAAATGGTCTTACTGGTAGCCTACTGAAACCTGCAGAAAGCATTGAGGTAATGCAGGTTCACGATGAACCAAAAGAGAACTGAGAGCACAAACGGTGTGTTTAGCTATTTTAAAGCTGAGGTGTGCTGGAGGACGACCTTAATAATTTGCCATCGGCCAGCTGGGTCTTTCAGGTCAGCAACAGCTCTATCCCAAACGGGTCCTGGCTGTGATCAGAGCTGTGGGTGCTGATCGCACAGACCTTGCCATGACAGCAAAGAGATTAAAAGAGCCACGCGCAGGGGAAATGTGTCGTTGCGTTATCTCTAAGAAGAAAGTGAGGAATTTAAAATGAATTTTGCCCCTCCTGGCTTGGCCACGATCACTGCTCATTTTGATTCATCCATTCATTCAAAAAAAATCTAAATTCTTGGCCACTGAACATTCAATAGACAAGTCAGTATACCAGCATTTTTTGTATCTTTGGTTCAGATAATGTATCTTATTCTGCACCTGATGTAACTAAAGTAAAATGCAGCAAGCACAACGTCACGTGTGTGTGTGTAGCTCCATCCAACAAATGAGGAGTCTAAATTACACTTAAAACGTCACCGGTTTCATAACGGTGGAATGGCAGAACTTTGTGCGTTTTAAAATATAAGCGCAATTATCATTCACAATTATTAATGCTCGCTGTTGGAATGTGTTCCTTTTCAATACCTGAAATCCACCATTGGACCGTTTAAAGTGACAGCCCTTTGACTGTTCTTTTGCAGGTGTTAAAATGGGGTTTCAGATATAACGTGAAGGGAGAGGGTTTTCACATCGTTAAAGGGATGTTATATCACGATTACAATTGTAGTTATTCATTAATGATAGCAAAGGACTCTGTGTAATATTAAACATTACTGATTGTACCTGGTTTGCTCAAACATGCACGGTCTCAAGAGCAGTGTGAAAAAATGCAATTTCTCAAATAGAAGTGAAATTTGGCATTAGTGCTTTGCAGTAATGAGCAAATCCTATGCTCTTAGAGTAATTAGGTTTTAAAAAATACAATCATTGAAACCTTGTTGAAATATTTATTCGGCTGCTTTGCATTTCATATTTATCCGCATTTAAACCGGGACAGATGAGGGGTTATTGTTAATGACTTTTCATCCAATAACAATGTATCCAAGATATGTATTGAATATGTCGACGCATAATTAGTGCACATACAAAGGTGATAGTATAGTTACGGTTCACGAACTGACATCGTTCGATACTCCAAAAGTTAGTTATCGGATGGAAAAAAATTATAATGTTGTAAATGTTGCTGTGCAATGCATTTACGAATGTGATGCTTGCTCTCTCTACATTGAGATGGTGAGGTGTGAGGATCAGGGGGCGGGGGGGGGGTAGAGATAAACGATAACTGAGGGGGCAATAAGGACCTGTTGTCAAAATGTTCGATTGCCTTAACTATTTTTATACAAGCAATGCTTAGTTTAATGGTCTCAAATTTGGAGCACGTATCTCCATGTCCTGCCCTTTTCTTTGACAGGGTTAGGACAGAAAAGGGAAGAAAAAAAATCTCCGGTATTTTTTTGGCTGATCCTCAGACTGAGTCGTGTCTGTGGCTGGCATCACAAGTAAATAAGTCGAGAGCCCAAAACAACAATGGCATCCAACGTAATTGCATACCCTGTTTAGAGATATTCTGAACAAATACATATGGTAGAGTTTTCTCAAGATAAGCGAGCAGAACATTGAATGGTAATATTCCTCATGAAATGGAATACATATATATAAAATATCTCCTTTTTGTACTTTTTGCACAACAAATAGATCATGTGAGAAATCCTTCCACCCGTGATGCCCAGAGTAGTCATTCATTGCAGAAGTCAACTGACTGTTTGAAAGTTTCAACAATGATATATTGTGGGCATACAAATAAAATAAATACGGGGGCATTCCAAGCCATGATCACTGCCACAATGACTGTCGAGTTTAATAACCTTAGCGGTTTGAAGGTTCAGTTGTAGTCCAATATTAGTGTGTCCGTTGGCTATTACTTTGTTTTGTTGCTGATAAGAAACACCTTACCCAGCATATCTAGGTGTGCAAACAACTTTTAATTCAGCATTTTTATTTCGCCGACTATTTTCATTTTCCTCCTGATGTCATGTTTGTCTCTACATTCAAATAAAGATATATAATTGACATTACAGGGTAACCAGCAAAGATTACAAAAGTGTGAATTGCAGACAAAAAATAACGTGAGAAACGTGTTCATTACTTGTTATTTTTACAGTATGTTCATGTGTGTGCAGAATATGTACGGGAAGAGCTGTGGTTGTATTGAGGAATCATATAATTACATTAAATGTATGCAAAGAAAGCATTACCATTGTGTCTACACAACAGAAGAAATGTAGTTTTATGAATACACAAATCAAATCAAGTCTAATTATATAAAGCATACCATTCCACGAACTATGTTTAATGAAATACACATTTTTGTAGACAAATTAATTCACGTATAGAGTTGAAAGTCTCAGCTATTATTCCTGCCTTCAGTAAAATGTTGAAAATCGATTTGCAAAATCTACAGACGAAAAACGGTGTAACTGTTATTTGATGTGTTCTTGTGTTCAGCACTTTTAGGAATTCTTAAGTTAGATGACAGAGCCGCATTGAGAAAGATGTCGATTTTTGCACTATATAAAAGCAGAATTACTGGGTTATTTTCCACTTTCAAAATTACCCAGTTCAGACGAGTTCACAGTGCAGACCACAGTGAAGCTATAACTGTTGAGGTGACTTTGTAAAACTAGAATCGCCCCTTGAATTGTCTTGAGATCAAATCCCAAAATAGGATCATTGAGAAAAACGATAATCATGGTTCAGTTCCTGAGTCAGG